TCTTTTGAGTACCATATCGCCCTCCTCCAGAGGTCGAGGGTGCACCTTGCTATTGTATGCGTTTGCCACCTTTTCCTTCTCAGCGATTATGCGTGTTAGAGCCACCTCCCGCCTTGTTTCTGTCATGTTCAGCTGATGTAGGAGGTTGGCATGGTTCTCTTCTGGATTGTAAGCCCGAATACGGAGCGTTGGGAATTGGACCTCTGTCGGGACGACCGCCTCGCATCCGTATGTGAGAGCGAACGGTGTTTCGCCCGTAGCCATTTTGTGTGTGGTCCTATGCGCCCAAAGGATGTGAGGGAGCTCCGTCGTCCAAGCGCATTTCGCTTCGCCCAATCTTCTCTTTAAACCTCGCAAGATCAGCTTGTTGGATGATTCTACTTGCCCATTCGCTTGCAGGAACGCCACTGACGCTAGGCTGAGCGTTATTCCGTGTTCTTGGCAGAACTTCTCGAACGGACGGCAGTCGAACTGTGCTCCGTGATCCGTGACGATAGTCTCCGGAATCCCGAAACGTATCAGGATGTTATTGAAGAGGAATTTCTGTATCCGAGCACTAGTGATCGTCTCCAGGGGTTCAGCTTCTATCCACTTGGTGAAATAGTCGACGGCTACCACCAAATATTTCTTTCCCAGCGGGGCATTTGGGAAGGGTCCCAGAAGGTCCAGACCCCACTTCGCGAAAGGCCACGGGCTTACGATTCCTTTCATTTCGGAGGCGGGAGCATGGTGCTTGTCCGCGTGTGCTTGGCAGGCGTGACACTCTCGCACAATTTTCAGTGCGTCCTTCTTGACCGTGGGCCAATAGTAACCTTGTAAGAGGACAGCCCTTTCAAGTCTCCGTGGCCCGATGTAAGTGGCGCACGTTCCCATGTGTATCGTCTTCAGAGCTTCCTCGGATTCCTCCTTTCCCAGACACTTCAAGTATGCGCCTGTAAAAGAGCGCTTATACAGTTCTTCCCCCACTATTGTGTACCGTGTGGCCTTCCGTCGTAGAGCCTTGGCCGCCACCGCATCACCCGGAACTTCATCTCGCTCAAGAAAGCCGAGAAGTTGACTTCTCCAATCCTGACTGTTTACGCTCGCCGCATTGACTACGACAGCTACCTCTTTCATGACCGTGACTTGTCTCTCACCTTCAAAGTCCATGGCGGTGGCCAATTTGGATAACGCATCAGCGTGCGCGTTCCCCTCCCGCCTGACGTGTTCCAACGTCCAATCCTCCATCTGTGCCAGGGCCCCCTGAGCTTTTCCGGCTAGTCTTGTCAGTTCCTCCTCCTTAATCTCGAAGTTCCCATTGATTTGACCCACCACCAGTGATGAATCCGAATAAATCTTTACCTTCTTGGCTCCCATTCCCGAGATTAACTTTATCCCGTTTATTAGTGCTTCGTACTCGACCACATTATTAGTTTTCAGGGCGTCAAAACGCATAGCAACCTCGTGGACCACTCCCTCCGGGGTTTCGATGACGATTCCAGCACCCGCACCTCCTTTGCCTGCCGCCCCGTCGACTGACAGCTTCCACGCTTCATCTTCTTTATTGTTTCCTTCATCTGTGGTGAAACCCTCAACGACAAAGTCGGCCAAGACTTGGGCCTTTACTGCTGGCCTGGGGCCGTAGGAGATGTCATGTTCGCTCAACTCCACCGCCCACTTCGTCATTCTTCCTGAGGCGTCCATCCTTTGTAGTATCTTCTTGAGCGGTAGGTTGGACAGGACGGTGATTGGGTGGCCCTGAAAATAGGGTCGCAACTTCCGCGCCGTCATTGCCACCGCGAGGACTGCCTTTTCAATCACCAAATACCTTGTTTCCGCCGGAAGTAACGCTTTGCTTATGTAGTATATCGGTTGGTCTTTGCCGTCTTCCGCTCTTCTTACGAGGACCGAGCTTACAGCCTGATGAGACACTGCCAAGTATAGGAAAAGACGTTCCCCATTGATGGGGGCGCTCAACACGGGGGGGGGGGGGGGATGACAGTTGTTCTTTGAGGCGTACAAAAGCCTCATTGCACTCCTCACTCCATCTGAACCGAGTGGTTGATTTTTTAAGGACCTGGAAAAATGGGGAGCATTTGTCTGTTGAGCGGGGTATAAACCGGCTTAGAGCCGCCATCTATCCGTTGAAAGCCTGTATTTCCTTGATCGTTCTCGGGGCCTTGAGTTGCAAGATTGCCTCAATCTGTTTCGGATTGGCTTCAATTCCCCGCTTTGTGATTAGAAAACCCAAGAATTTTCCCGCCTCGGCTCCGAACACGCACTTTGTCGGGTTTAGGCGCAACCCATGTTTCCGCATATTTGAAAACGTTTCCCTCAAGTCTTGTAAGTGGGTTCCCGCCTCCTTGCTTTTCACCAATACGTCATCCACATATGCTTCTACGTTCCGCCCTATCTGGTTACGTAACACTGCATCCACCATTCTCTGATACGTTGCACCCGCACTTTTCAAACTAAAGGGCATGACTACCCAGCAGTAGTTTCCCGTGGCCGTCATGAAGGCGGTTTTTTCCTGATCCTCCTCCGCGAGACTAATTTGATGATATCCCGAGAACATATCTAGAAAACTTAGCATGGAGTGATTGGCTGTGGCATCAATGAGTCGATCAATTCTTGGGAGCGGGTATGCGTCCTTCGGGCACGCGCTATTCAAGCTGGTGAAATCAACACACATTCGCCACAACCCTGAGCTCTTCTTAACAAAAACTGGATTTGCCAGCCAGGTAGGGTACCTCACTTCTTTGATGAACCCCGCCTTGAGTAGTTTTTGAATCTCTTCTTCCAGTGCCATTTGAGTTCAACTTGGTTGGGAAGTTTTCTCATTTCCCCTACTATTGTAGGAGTCACACTACTTTCTTCCTTTTATGCTATAGGGACAGCTCGGGAATAGAGCTTTATGCATGGATGCAACAAATTGAAATACATCACAAATTTAAAGCGCAAATTGATGTAATAAACACATAACACCCATTATAATAAAGTAAGAAAAACTTATCGACGATTAATGTAGTTTGACTCTAGTAGTCCCCAGCGGAGTCGCCACTGTCGCAACCGCCCTCGGAAAATCGGGGAAAAGCTCGCGAATCGGTTTGGAGTCGCCATCGACCGTGCCTTGGGGTGGGTCGAACACCAATTTCCGGTTTTAATTTTTATTTAAAACCAGAATTCTGGTCTGCGAATTTTAGATTTTTGGGTTCGGGAGTACGGTTACGCGTGGGGAAGTGTACTCACACCCCACAACGCCCAAAATTGGTACTACTTAAACCGATAAGTTTAAAGGTTGGGTGTATTATTATTTGCGGCTTTATTGTGTGATAAATTATAAGATTCAATTGATTAGGTATTTGTTAATATACAGTTTGATCGTACGTTTATTAACATAATTCTCAAAATTAAAGAAAGAGTTTTAAGTTTGGTTGGACTCGAACCTATCGGTTGCCTACGTACCCGGGTTAACCGGGATCAAAGTCCACGTAGTTCGAACAAAGCTTTGATGTTTTAAGAAGTAATTTTAACCTCGTTCCACCGAAGGTAATTATTGTATTATAATTTAATGAAACTTAAATTATATTTTTGCACGGATTTTAATATTTAGGTGGTAATTCGATGTATTGGACAAAAATACGAGATAAACTTAATCCGCATCTTAACATTTCGTATTAAGGATTTTAAATAAATAAAATTATACGAGCTGATAACATGAATTCATTATGGGCCAGCAGCCCAACTGGCTAAGTTGCCAGACCGTGACCGTGTTCGACCCCAAGAACGACGGTTCGAAACCTGTTAACCACGATTTTTTGTTGATCTCGTTTTAGTGCAGAGAAGGGGGAAGGGC